GACCTCTAGGGAATCAACTGGATAGCAAATATGTGTACAAGGGGGTTGGTGTATGTTTGAATGTGGGAGTTAGGGGTCATTTGCCAGGTAACACGAATAAGCGCCTCACCTACAAAAGAACTAACTTGGCCGCATTTTTGTTTTTATTTCCATTGTCTAAGGCAAATGAGGAAAAATAAAAATGTCTTTGTTGAGGATTTTAGGATAATGATACCATGATAGGTCAGAGACTGCAGTTCAGGGTTAAAAGAACCGATGACAATGTATGCTGTGGGCTCAGACAGAGAACAGCAAGAACAAAGGCAACTCTTCAAAAGACACCAGCATTAAAAAAAATGAATAGCTAAAAACAAACAAAAATTCCCAAAGGACTCAAAGAAAGAGTCAAAATGAATTCTCTGAAGAGGAAAATGAATTTTGTTCTAATATTCTCTTAACAGAGTTTTTTCAAATAGGATAAGAAGATTGAAAAGAACCCTGATAACTCGAGATAAATTATGCAAATTCTCATTTCACATCTCTGCTTTTGGGGGAAGTATCAGCACCATTTTTAAAGCTGCAAAACCCCGACATTTCCTATCTCTGCTCCCCAGCTGGCGAGCACAGCCAAAGGATTATGCATAAGACACACGTGATCCGGTGGAGCTCAGAGAATCTGGGATACCGCCACTCTTGGGGGCTTAGAAGGAAGATTTTTAATTACAGTTCCACTGCCTTATCGCAACCAAGAGGTTAAACACTCTCCCTCTTCTACACCGTGCCCACTCATCCTGGGGGCTGCGGAGGGGAAATCGGTGCTTCTACAACTATGAATGAAAACAACTTTGATTCTTTGATTTTATGTTATCTAAGAAGCACTAAGAGGGAGAAAGTGGTACAAAGGCCACAACCATGGACGCAGACACACCAGCGACCATGGGGTCAGCACGGGACTAAGAAACCCTTCCTTCTATTATGCATGCAGTTGTCTTGGATCAGTCGGTTCAATAGCAAATAATAGGGAATCACTAGGCCTTCCTTCCTCTCCTCTCCTTTTGAAAGTATGAGCTTTACCCCCCCACCCCCAGGCAATAGTCCACATTAATACTATAATAATTTTGTTCATGGTAGTGCTGCTAACAGAAATATATCCCTTGACACCGCTTAGGCTAGAAGGAAAAAAATGAACATACTATGCTATATTTTGATTGTCCCCCTTCAATAACAATAACTAGGATGGTTTCCTAAGGGTAAAAAAACAATACCACCCCATTTCAACAGTTTATCCTAAGATTCTCTTTATTTCACGGTACCTCATTCAACAAACACTCTGTAGCTTAAGAACATGTCCCTTAACACATAAACCTGCTGTCATCAGTGAGTGTAGATCACAGGGAGCCTGGTGTCATTAGAAATGCCTTGAGAACTTCTGACCTTGAGGAGATCAAGTCCACCATTGCCACTCAAACATGACTATTGGCTGGTCTTTGTTAAGTCAGATCCGAATAGAACTAACCCAGAACCATGAACTGTGGTTAGAACAGTTAGAGGCAAAAGTATTTTCATCTCTTGTTATTTTTCTATTGAGAACCCACTAGAAATCAGTCTTTCTTAAATGAACTCCATAGATAAGACCATATAGAAGACTCTATCACAAATTATATTTGTTAATTATTTGATTTGTACTGCGTAGGAGTGATCAAAGGAGCATTTTCTTTTTAAAACTATATTCTCAGCTATGCAATTGCTGCTGTCAGGTTTGACCACCTAGGTGTAATCCTGAACTTTGGATAGAATTTCCTCGATCACAGGCTGTTAATATAACCACTCACATAAGTAACTTGTGTATAACTTTAACAAATCGGATCCAAAGGCTGGTGGGTGGGCTTGGACTGTTTCCAGCCAAATTGTCCTTCTGGTTCCACCTCTGGAAATGGATTAAAGATGCTTTACCTCAAAATGAATAACAATCAGGATGGTTTGATATTTGGAGTGGCAAGTGACTGGACGTTTATAAAATTCAAATTAAATAGATAGTTTCAATTCTATGTAAACAGTCAGGGTTAATTCACATCGTTTTCTCCGCCCTCACTTCCCCTGGTTTCCAGCATAGCAAAGCTGGGGCTGTAATTAGGGAATGGGTAGTACTCACTGTTCACCAGTTGTATGTAAGCTTTAAACTAATAACTCAGCAATTACGAGAAAAATGAGCAGTAATTACACCCATTTTACTCGCTGCTAGACAGATGGAACATTTTCTCCTCGTATTGGCAAACTGTCACCACATTTATTTCATTTTTACTGTTTACTATTTGTTGTACTTTGATTAAGAGTAATTGCAGACTAGGAAAATATGAAAAACCATGAATGTTGGTTATTTTGTAAAAATAGAAGGAAGCCCTTCTCCCCGCTCTATATTGACAGAACTCGCATTTTAGACTGTATTCAAATGGCGTCCACATCCCCAAGCTCGTCTGACACGGCACTGGGTGCCAGGATAGCTTTTTACCAGGGGGCTTCCATGTTTACTAATTATGTGGATCATCGCGGATCCCATCAATATTCTGCTTACATCCTGCGCAACCGCCTCCAGACCCTCCCACGCATCCATCTGGTCCCCATCCACCGAGGAGGCAAGGGGAAATTCACCTGGGTGTGGAGGAAACTGCCTATTGTAAAAATGCTGGAGGGCTGGTAAAGATGATGGAAAAGCTCCTTGATATTTTCATTCCATTTTCCCTTGAACCTTGTGAAGCGTCCTCCTCTCCTTTCTACTGTTCTTCGGAAGCAGCCTTAGTGGCGCAGGGGTTAAGGACTCAGCAGCTAGTCAAAAGGTTGAGAGTTCAAGACTAACAGCCTCTCTGCAGGAGAACGATGTGACATCAGCTTCCAAACAGATAACCTCGGAGACCAGCTGGAGCGGTTCTAGTCTGCCCGCTAGGCTTGCCACGAGCCGGGCACTGCCTCGACCATCGTGTTTTACACTTTGTTTTGCTTTGTTTTCATTTTCAGTTGTTCTTGTGGTTTTGAAGAATAGAGGTCCAGTTCCATCCTGCCTACTAAAATGATTTCATGTACAAGGGTACTTCAAGAAGTTCACGGAACAAGGGAACTCAAAGATAATGGAATCCTTCCAGGAGCTTGCTTTTTTTTTTTTTTTCCAGGAGCTTGCTTAAGCCCCCTCACGTGGTGTTCAGTGGAACATTGATATTGAGGGCCGTTCTGGCTCAGATTATCTTCGAAAGCTCTTTAGCATGTGCAGCATGGGCTTCAAGTTCATGTGCTAGCTGCATATGCACTCCTGACAAAGCGTCAGGGGTACAGAGGGCATGGGCTAGGGGAGGGGAGAGCTTACTTGTATTCATTTTTAGCAAACCATATATTTCTCACTGGTAATATTATTTGTGTGGACTGGGATTTTGCACGATTGCTAATACCAAGTGAGCACTTAGATGTATAATTATCAACCGTTGAGAAGCTGTTTTCGCTAATAGTAAAAATATCTCTTTTAGGGTAAGCCCCAAGCGTAAAACAATGCACACTCGCTGTGTACAATTCTCAGGAAGGCATATTTTGTTAGCCGTGAGTAGGCAGGGCAAGCTTCCAAATTCAATGCCCATAATGACACACTCCCAGAAGCAATAAAAGCCATCAGAGACCCCCACGGGCCCACAGGAAAGCCTAGAATTGCCAACAAACACGCTCCTAAAATGCATGCTTAAATACATTTGAAAAGTTGTGACACCGGCTTCCATTTTTCATAATGGAGCGTGGTGAGGGGAAGGGTTGGGGGGAGGCACGCCTTGTTCTACATGGGCTCCATATTGATTCGTGGAGATGTCATGTGTTAATGCGCTGGCTCACTAATGGCTCTGCCTGTGTGGTAATCTGCTCAGCTAGTGCAAGGCCCTGAATTGATTAGTTCCCTTAATGAGCCTTAGATTGCCGTCCACCCAATATGGAAACTGCAGAGCAGACCGCTTGTGTGGCTGGAGAAACCCGGCTCTCACGCAGCTGTCCAGGAGGGAAGCGATGAGGAGCAAGCGGTAGAAGACAGTGGGGGGCTGGGGCTTCAGGTGAGAGGACAGAGAAGCTCCCTGTTCCTTTTCTAGGCGATGTGGAATCATATTCCTGGGTTCCCTGAGACAGCAGAACAGCGCAAGGTGAGGCTCCGACCTCACTCCCAAGCAATGACCATGGGCAGGTTGGACACTATCTGGATCGGACGTTGGTCTCTGTCATGTGCCATCTCTGTAATCCTGGCATGTCATCTTTCTACAACACCTCTATCTTCATTTGTGTGCAAATTACATCATATAATTTTTAACCAATGGACTTAGGCCGGGGGAGGGGGCAGTATGGAGAGGAGACCAGAAGGAAGACATAGAGCACAGGTCATTTTAAGGACATGGACATTATTCGACAGGGTACTGGTAATGATGGATACAGGACAAGCATTTGCCAAAGTTCATAGACTGACAAGTATATATCAAATTTCATAGAACTGTGTAACACAAGGAGTGAAACCCAATGTACACTATGAATTTTAGTTAATAAACATGCATTGTTAGTGACTTATCAAAGAGAACAAATGCACCACAGGAATGTAACTCAAAAACTCAGCTACCGCCTTGATTTTGATTTTGATTCGGAGCGACCCTGGAGGTAGAGGAGAACTGCCCCTGTGGGGTTTTGAGGCTGTAAATCTTGACAAGAGTTGAAAGCCTCATCTTCCTCCCAACAATTGGGCTCCAATTGTTGACATCATAGAGATCAGCCCACTGTGTGCCCGCAGGACCCTTCCCCAGGAGCATGAGATATTATGTTATAATATAATCATTGTGTCATGGGAGAAACTTGAGTGCTATTGGCAGGGCAAGTACATGAGAGTGCTGTGTACCCCGTAATTCTTCTGTTAACCTAAAAAGGCCCCCAAAATAGTGCTTTTATTTTTTTTTAAAAAGTCCAACATGCAATTGAAAAAGTAACGGTACAAAGCTATTAAAATAAGTTTAGCAATGCTTTTTTCTTGTTGGGAAACGAGCATGCAGTCTAGCCCTCATTACAGACAGAAGCACAGGGAAGGGGCTACCATGCAATCAATTCCCTCACTGCCATGTCTTCAGTGTCAGTGGCTTCCCATCCACCAACTCTATCCTTAAATGACAGGACAAAGAAAAATAAGTAAAACTAAAATGAAATCAATTCAGCAAATGGATGGTGACCTGCTGGTGCTCTGTGAGACCGACGGGGGCTGGATAGACTTGGAAGATTGTCAATAAGGCAGTGGAAGAATGAAAAGGGGTAATAAGGAGGCGTGGGTGGGGGAGGCTGCCTGGGATACGTTTTATCTCCAGAAAGTTGGGATTCACCATCAGAACTGTGTATTGATATTTTAAAATTTTTACAAAGATAGGTCAAAAAAGGAAGGAGAAAGTAAAATAGTTTCCTCTTGCTCATATACCCATCGCCCCCTGCCCTATATATGCATCCACATGACACTCATACACACACACACCATGCATACCACACATACATACTATGCACACACACATACACACACAAATCTATACACCTTGTGCAGACAAACCAAACACACACGTCTATCACGAAAGAAATTATGTTAGAGAAAATGTAGGAACTTGAACATGTTTTTAGTCTCAAGTGAAAGCAATTCAGAAAATCATTCCTACTTTTAGAAAAAATAAACCACAGTATTAGTTAACCCATCATGTTTATATTCAAAGAAAAGAACTGCATAGAGTCTCATAGCATAAATAAACAAAAGTCCTAGCCACATGTAAAATGTCTACTCTTAGTAATTCATTCTGGAATGTGCTATAGGAAACAACAGACGAAGGCTAATTAACAGCTTGCAGTATGCAAATGACACAACTTTGCTTGCTGTAAGCAAGGAGGACCTTCAATATGGATTATAACTCAATGTCAAGAAAACCAAAATCCTCACAACAGGACCAGTAAGTAACATCATGACAACCCAAGAAATCCACTTCCCACTCGGTGTCTGCTCCTAACACCATGATTAGTGGAGAAAAGGCTGAAGCTGTCAAGGATTTCATCTTACTTAGATTACGAATCAATGCTCATGGAAGCAGAAGTCAAGAGATCAAACAGTGCATTGCATTGGGCAAATCTGCTGTACAAGACTTCTTGAAAGTACTGAAATTTAAAGATATTACTTTGAGGACTGAGGTGCACTTGACCCAAGCGTGGTTTTTTCAATGGTCTCATATGCAAATGAAAGGCAGACACTGAATAAGGAAAACGTCAGAAGAACCGATGCATTTAAATGATGGTGTGAGCACAGAATATTAAAAGTATCATGGACTGACAAATGACAGACACATCTGTCTTGGCAGAAGTACAGCCAGAATTCTCTTTAGAGGCAAGGATGGTGAGCCTCCACCGTACACACTTTGTACATATTTTCAGGAGACACCAGTCCCTGGAGAAGGATGTGAGTCATGGTAAAGCCAAGAGGCAGTAAAAAGGGGGCCCTTGCTGAGATGGATTGACATGGTGGCTGCACCAATGGGCTCCAACATTAAGAACCAGGGTGTGAGGATGGCACAGGATTGAGAAATGCTTTCTTCTGTTGCACATGGGGTTACTATGAGTCAGAACCAGCTCAATGGCTACCACCACCACCACCACCACCACCACCAAGGAATGCATCCTGGAACTTGCTGTAAGAAATGAAACATGTAATGCTCCGGTTTTTTCACTTTGCCTGGAAGAAACTTTCTATTGTAATGAATACAGAACACAGCACTGAGATAAGATGCCTTGAGGAAGCTATGCTATGTCCTCACGGGCTGCTTGGACAAGGTTTGTTACGGTGGACATTTAAAACCTATGCCAGGGCAACCATCACACACAGCTGAACATGCAAAGAGGAACGGGAATAGAAATATAAGCTCACTCTAACTTCTTCCAGGAAGAGATAGCTCCACTAAGTGTTCAAGTATTCTTACAACAGTCTGATGCTCAAAACGGGGCTTTCTCACGCATGACCAAAGCTCATTTGCTCAGATTGCACTTAAACCAAGCGATCCATCTCCGGAGTGTAAAAAACTGAATGTTGTCCCTACTTTGAGCTGTTTCCTTTGGTTTACCAGAAGCCATTGGCTTTCAAAGTTGCTTTCCCCCATCCTATCAAATATCCGACTCTGGATACTCAATACGACCAAAAATATCCAGAAGGCTCATTCTAGAAAACCTCAACCCTAAACTTCAGGTTTCAGGCAAGTTTTATTCGGTTCCAATTCAGTCTAATTATTTTCCCTGAAATGTCGATCCTTAGAGATGGATAAAAACCACATTAATAAATGTTGCGAAGGTGTGAAATAGCAAAAAAACAAAACAAAACATGCTAATGCAATCATTGTCATTGTCCTTGAGAATTATAAGTAATGGTACTAGTTTTCCAAAGTGTCCCAATGCATTATAAAGTATCAAATGTAAAAGGATCTTGTGCAAAGTTACATTGAGAAGGTGAACTCAAATCTAGGTATAAACCCTTCCTAAGAAGAGCCCGGTGGCGTGCTCGTGAAGAGTGTGGCTATGACCCGCAAGACGTGCAGCTTGAAACACCAGCTGCTCCCCAGGAGAAAGACGGGCCTTTCTACTCCCGTGAAGAGTTACACAGTGGAAACCCACAGGGCAGTGCTGCCCTGTCCTATAGGGTCACAGTGAGTCGGCATTGGCTTAATGGCAGCGAGTTTGCTTTTTCAGAGGGTACACCAGGGAGCCGCTGATCGGTGCAAACCGTTAACCTGGCTGTAAACCAAAATGCTGTAGACTCAAGTTCACCCAGGGGCTCTTCAGATGAAAGCCCTGATGCCTTACTTCAAAATCAGCCCTGGGGTACCCCCTGGAAGAAAGATCTACGCATACACACATGGGGCCTCCGAGAGCTGAGGTCACCACAAGCCAGAGCCAACTAACTCAATGACCGACTGCTGTGTCCCTATGAATCAAAGACTTTACCAGGAAGTAAAATGGAAATTGACTCCTTGAACTAATATAAAATGTAGTTGGGGAAAGAAGACCAATGCTTTTTCACAGGCTCGAGATTGCGTGTTTGTTTGCTTTAATGTTTCCAGTTCTTTTGAATCGGGTTCCACAGAAGTCAGTAAAAATCGACCGCCAGCACTGGCCATGGAAAGTATGATTTCACGTGGTCTTACTGTCAGTCAATGTTCTACAGACAACTTTAGAGGTTTTGTATTATGCAATCCTTGTGGCAGCTTGAGAATGTCAAGGGTCATTTTTCTTGTTTTGTGCTTTGGACGACTGAGGCCCATCTCGCATCCCATGTGGCATCCTGGCTGATGGACTCCGCAGTCTACAAGGTACACAGGGATCACTCTTACTGTTTGTTGCCTTTAGCCATGGAACAGGCTTCATAGAGCACGTAGAAGCACTGGTCTAAAGAAGAAATAATTGGAGGTGGCAGGTGTGGTTGGAAGAAGGCAGGGTGGGGTGGGGGTTGGGGGAGACTGTCCCAGGTTAGAGTTTAAACACACCCACTACAACTGATGAGAGATGGGATTGCCAAGAGATAGGTGTCTAAGACTCTGGTTTAGCCTACTTGTCTCAGAATCACCTGGGACGTGTTGAAACATAAAAGTCACTTTGATTCTGGATGTGAGGAGTGAAGCCCAGGGGTCTTCGGTTTAACACGCTCCTCTGTGAGCATGATGTGCGATGAGACTGGGAGCCACAAGGGCAAAAGAGGCCTCATGAGGCCAGCAAGGGGGAATGTACGTTTTCTGCTAAGAGAATGGAGCCTAGCCCGGGGTCTCAGAGATAGCAGAAATCAGATCTGTCTTGTGTTTCTAGCACGTAGCACAGCGTTTTCAGTAAACGAAAATGGATTTTCAGGTGAGATGGATGAGCAGGTGGATGAGATTATGAGTGATTTCATAACTACCCAGAGACACTGATTTCACAGTGTGGTAGGGTTGGAAAAGCCAGCACACAGTAGGTGCTTCGCAAATGCTTATGGGACAGATGAATGATTGGGTTCTTTCAAGTAAGCGTATAAACCCAGGCTCAGGCTTTATAGAATTCCACGCTACATCACATTGCTTCTGATCATGTTGCAAACGATCTATCTGCAATTGGGATCCTGACTGGATTCTGCACAAATGTGAAATGCTTGACAGAAGATTGAAGCTCACAATTTAAAACTATATAGTCTTTTGTTTTCCTTTAAAATATATATTTCCTTGAAAATACAGCTGCTGTATATTTCATATTTCTTTCTGATGCACTGGGAAGTAGGGTACCCATATACTTTTAGTACATTTTACAAATTGGCATGTATGAAAAGAAAACAACACCAGCTGCATTGCGTTTTAGCTTCAGACTCAAGGAGCTGTCAAAAAGGCAGCTTTCCAGGGAACAGTGGAACGGACTCTCACTTGTATCGCTTTTCTTGCATGCTGTCCCCTTTATATGTGCCCTCTGTCCTTCCTGGGGTGGTTGTTTGATGTCCTGAAAGCTACAGAAACTCAGGGAAGATGCTTGAGCACAGGGATATCAAACAGCGCTGTTTCCCATGGTTCTAATGCTTCAACAGGCGACACGGGTAGTCAGTGCCACAAAGGCCCAGTAGCCAAATGAGAAGTTCCAGATAAACAGAGGTGTCGACCAGGAACCCAGAGCAAGGGATTTTATCAGAGCTGGCCACGCAGGCAGCTAAAATTAAGCTGTAATAGTAACAACGCCTGTGACCAGGGAGTAATTGTTCCACTCATGGGGACGCCCGATGTTACAGAGTAGTCCTGCTCCGCAGGCTTTCCTGGCTGTCCTCTTTACGAAAGCAGACGGCCAGGACTTTCTTCTGTGATGCAACTGAACTGGTTCGAACTACCAACCTTTAGACTCGTAGTAGAGCACTTTATTGTTTGCACCACCCAAGAATCTCTGGCTGCTAGCTGAATTATAACCCAGGTGTGAAAAGAGGCCTTTGGTGACATGAGTACAGGCCTGTTAACTGAAAGGATAGCTGTTTGAACCCACCAGCTACTCTCAAGGAGAAGAAACCTGGCGATTGGTTTGCCTGAAGTTTACAGCCAAGGAAATGCTACAGGGCACTTCACCTCAGTCGTGGGAAGGTCATCATGAGGTGGAACAGATGCAACAGAA